AATTGGTTAAACTATTTTTTTTCTCTGCTCTATAAATGTCAATATCATGTCTCTGATCTCTGTGGCTTCTTAATGCTCCGCAATTACTTAGTTTCCTGTACTGTCTGTATCCCACCATAGTGGTTGTTTATGCTTTGTGCCAAATTGATATTTCTTGAAGACTTTAACAAAGTCCTCCCCTGGTGTGTGATATAGATTGAAGATTCACTGATGGACTAACGAATATTATCCAGAATCAATCATGATCAGTGTCATAATATAATAACATTTGCCCTGAAATAATCAATGAAAGTTCCTTGAGAATGTAGCACTGTTTTCTTCATTAAAACCGTAATTCAACATTCATATGTTCATTTCTGGTTTCTGTATTTAAAATGTCAGACCTGTTGATTAGTGTCTGTTGGAGAAGTGTCACCATGACAACCACCATATTCATACACACGGTCAACGGATTTGCCATGCTTGTCAATATACAATATTTTCTGAGGTCTGTCCACGTGTTGTTTTGTTTGTTTGTTGTTTAACCCCGCACTCAGCAATATTCCAGCTATATGATGGCGGTCTGTAAATAATCGAGTCTGGACCAGACAATCCAGTGATTGACATCATGAGCATCGATCCACGCAATTGGGATTGATGGCATGTATCAACCAAGTCAGCGAGACTTAACACCCGATCCCGACAAGCATAGTCGCCTTTTACGGCAAGTATGGGTTGCTGAAGACCTATTCTACCCCGGAATCTTCACGGGTCGTATTGTGGAATACGCGGATACGGCAGACTAGACTTAAATCGTTCCTAATGGGTGGGGACGACTACTACGAATGGAACGCCTACTACGGGGACCATGTAAAAGCAACGTCAGTATATTAAGAGTGAGTGAGTGAGTGAGTGAATGAGTTAATATTTTACATCGCATCGGCAATATTACAGCCAAATCGCGATGAAAACAAGTTAATTATTCTTAGATACCCGTTGACAAAGGACAGTAAGACAGAAACGTAAATGTAGTACGATATCTTGACGAAATTCGCTTCTCATAGATTAACTTGTCTTCAACTGTATTGTGTTGGCAGTACATACAATACTTTTCTGTGCGTCTGTTTGTATGTACACAATCGCTGTGAGACCTATAGGACGTGTTGTTTTTTATGCTTGTTACCTGGGACATCGATTCTGGTACTGTACCTAGGTCACGAGGAGTAAATGCTACATGCAGGTTCTTAAATCTCAGACATAAGCCTGAGCCTGCAAATTCCGCTCAATATTGACACTCCTCCGGCGTGGTGTACTATTTGAGTCATGAAAGTATGTTTAACCTGACAGGAGATCTCTAAGATCTGTATATATTGCGCAAACCCAAAGTTACATTTAACTCGGACATTAATAACCTCTACCTCATACCTCTTTTTCTAATACAACTGAACTATCACTTCAAACCTGATATTCAGCTATGCGAGCATTAAAATCACTTTTGAGTGTGTGAGTTAGAAAAAGGGCCTACTGGCCCACTTTATAATACTAAACTTCAGTGTAACCGACTTAAAATGTGATCTCTCAAATTTAAAAGTGGCCCGTGTGCGGTTCAGCATCAAAACTAGCATTCCATTGCTAATGACCGCCGTCATATAGTTGGATTGTTGCTTAGTGTGGCGTTAAAAACACAAAACAAAAAGGAACCGACTTAAATGACGTTGCCGTTGGTACTTCACAACACTACAATCCCCGGAAAATAAATCATGATATGTTTGCATATGATTACAATTAAGGTACCAAAGCCTAATAGGCCATTTTGAATATTGGAGTGAGCTTTTAGTGAAGATCTTACAGGCTGTTATTTACTATCCAATAGCCAAATTAGAGGCGATCTTGTCGAGACGGGTAATACCCATTATCGATGTTCATCCGGGAAGCACCGTATAAATAGCGATTTGGTGCGTTGTACGGGAACATGCACGTGTTGTTGTATACAGAAATTAGACAAACACACGATATGAACGTGATACTGCAGTTTTTTTAATGGGAAACTAGAAAAAACAATATGCTGTTTAAACACTAAAGATAAGAATATTGAGAGAGAAACAAACACATGACAAGTCTTCTACTTTATGTGACTGTACAAGTCTTCTACTCTGGGTGACTGTACATGTAGGTTAGAGATTCTCTGATGTGGGAACACTGTGGAATAACTTTCACAAAATCGTTGTCTTAACGACCATTTTATAATTACATGTATAAATATTTTCTAAGATTCTACAGTGCACTACAACTTTGATGTTGATCTTATAGAGAATGTAGGTGACAGGGCAAGGCAGGGTGTATTCACGATCTGGTTCAGGATGCCTTTGATTCCAGAAGCTTCAGTAAAACGTCGTTGGACACCTGCAACCCAGTCGACAAGACACGAACATATTCTTGTAACCAATGGTATAGCCAGTACAAGTTCTCCTAAAGCCGGTTCTGTAGGATAAAAAAAATGTAAATGAATAAGATGTTTTCTACACGATTTCACATGTACCAAGTTGGAATTAATAACACGTGATGCAATCGATGGCATGGCTCATAAGTGAATAACATTAATCACACGTGCAATTTGATAACACGTGATGAAAGACTTATATTATATTTAAGCTAAACACATTCAGTTGGGACAATTACATTTGATGTTTAACGCCGTCTTACGTACTTCAGCTATGTGACGAGGACCTGCAAACAACTGAGACTTGGCCAGGCAAACCAGTGCTCGTTATTGCAAACAACGTCCCACGCTGTCTGGGAAGGGGTACGGTAATACGCAATCAACCGAGACACCTGATCCATCACTATATCCATTTAGTCGCATAGATTGCTATGTGTCTATTCTTACCCGGAATTTGATTACATGATTTCCAAGTGACCATTTTTACAATCTCACCGGTATCTGGTACACCTTCCCCATCTCAAAAATCCACAGCTGGTGGTATATCTTTGACGATACGTAGTTGATCTGTATATACTGCAATAAACATGTCAAGTCATTGTAAATGAAAAACATTTGAAGTAATTATAAGTAAATACAGACAAAATGATGAATTTATTACAGGCCCATTCTCCCTTTGATGTGATGTGGAGTGTCCACGACTTTACAAGTAAAATTTGCAGTTACTTGATATTTTTATTTGGGACACAAAACAAGTTCGAAGAAATTGAAAATTAGAAACCTCCGCTTCGACTGATCAGAGATCAAATAATGTCAAAGGATTGACGGAATTCAACTGAACTGGACAGACAATTACTTCGGCATAACAGAGTTCAACACAACAAAAATGAATAAATAATCAACAGTGGCCTTACGGTTTCTTGAATGAGACACTCTTCGTTATTTTGCACTTGTCACAGTAGCATTTATAAGTGTTTTTGACTGAAAGGAAATAAGATAATGTAAACGTATGCACACCCACAGGAACAGAACAAAACACATCCACACAAACATACGCGCCATCACGCTCACTTTGTGTTCCCCCCACTTAGAATCCAGCAGCCTGACACTGCATCAATTTTAGATCTATTCAAGTTTTATGAGATTCTTTTAATTCAAACACTAAGGGAATTGTGTCGTGAGTGTCACGAAATCTGAGGAAACACACATTTTCTGGCATATCAGATTTTAGCAGTAAAACAGTCATGGAGGGTTCTTTTGTGAAATTTGTAGTCATTTTTCATGAACACAACAAGCTCCAATTACTGGAATTGATGCCATCAACATGACCGAGTCAGTTCAAAACCAACTGTATCACTATTCACATACAATTCAAACTTGAGCATAATGAAAGAAGGTGTAACCCTCAACAAATGTATGTCCTTTCTTCAGTCCCTCTCTAAAATCCACGCCCAAGCGCTCTCCGTAACGTCGAGGTAGTGTGTTGCTATGTTAATTACACATATGCTATCAATATTTCAATCACAAAACTTGTGTAGTTTTATTCCATGATCCTCCCTCCTTAAGTTTCCAAACGTGTTTCGTTACGCATATCCTAATCATACATATACAACACAGCACAGCACATTACAACACACACCTTAAGGATCATTGGTATGTTTCATTGATAGTGGTATCTTGGCTTGAATAAATGCAATACATCGATAGATAGATCAGTCGTTACTCCCTTACATGATATAAATGTGGCCAAATAGCTCTTTTTAGGAAGAGTTTAAACACGAACACGAATGATCTTTGACTCAAGTTGTGTCTCGTAGAATCTGAAGGAATCGACGGTCATATGAACATGTCCGATAGGCTTTCATTCGTCAAAATATAACATGTCCACATCACTGTCATTGCCATAATCGTACCCATCATACGACTAACGGCATCGATATTTAAAAAAACATTCATGTCATCACACTTTACGCACAATACCTCATGAATTCAGAATATGATTAATAAAACCTACTGACTTTAAATGGACTAAGCCTTTCTTACCGAGTGACTCCACCAGTCCAAGACAGATGAGGACCACACACAGTTTCAGGACAGCTGCCATGGTTGTTTTGCCTCTGTGGTCAACACCAGACTGCTGTATGTGAGGGCCGCCTCAAACGTTTAACCAGTTGTAACATCCGTTTGCTATGGTAAAGTAAACATGGCCAATAAGACTGCTCCTTACATCCTTATATCTGTATTTAGAAAACAAGTCCTGTTATCCCTTGACTAAATGTGAACAGTTTCTTTCAGGAAAATTTGAGTAAAAGAAAAATAATTAATCCCAAGCACATATGTGAACAGTTTCTTTCAGGAAAATTTGAGTAAAAGAAAAACAATTAATCCCAAACACATATATGGCGTGCATCTAAAATTGTATACATTATTAGACGAATTTTCCAAAACCTCTTACCCATATGTCTACAACGACGTATCTGCTTGTGCTAAATTTAACAATTCTGATTCACAGCTGTTTGGTTGTGATATTGGTGTTCGACAGGGATATTTCCCCAGTCCTTTTTACTCTCCATGTTTATCAATGAATTCGCGAAAGAAATATAGTTCATGTGAATACATCCAGACATTACTCCTATTAGCCTATGGTATAGCCAGTGCAAGTGCTCCTGTAGCCTATGGTATAGCCAGTGCAAGTGCTCCTGTAGCCTATGGTATAGCCAGTGCAAGTGCTCCTGTAGCCTATGGTATAGCCAGTACAAGTGCTCCTGTAGCCTATGGTATAGCCAGTGCAAGTGCTCCTGTAGCCTATTGTATAGCCAGTGCAAGTACTCCTGTAGCCTATGGTATAGCCAGTGCAAGTGCTCCTGTAGCCTATGGTATAGCCAGTGCAAGTAATCCTGTAGCCTATGGTATAGCCAGTACAAGTACTCCTGTAGCCTATGGTATAGCCAGTACAAGTACTCCTGTAGCCTATGGTATAGCCAGTGCAAGTGCTCCTGTAGCCTATGGTATAGCCAGTACAAATACTCCTGTAGCCTATGGTATAGCCAGTGCAAGTACTCCTGTAGCCTATGGTATAGCCAGTGCAAGTACTCCTGTAGCCTATGGTATAGCCAGTGCAAGTACTCCTGTAGCCTATGGTATAGCCAGTACAAGTACTCCTGTAGCCTATGGTATAGCCAGTACAAGTGCTCCTGTAGCCTATGGTATAGCCAGTACAAGTACTCCTGTAGCCTATGGTATAGCCAGTACAAGTGCTCCTGTAGCCTATGGTATAGCCAGTGCAAGTACTCCTGTAGCCTATGGTATAGCCAGTGCAAGTGCTCCTGTAGCCTATGGTATAGCCAGTACAAGTACTCCTGTAGCCTATGGTATAGCCAGTACAAGTGCCCCTGTAGCCTATGGTATAGCCAGTACAAGTGCTCCTGTAGCCTATGGTATAGCCAGTGCAAGTGTTCCTGTAGCCTATGGTATAGCCAGTACAAGTACTCCTGTAGCCTATGGTATAGCCAGTGCAAGTGCTCCTGTAGCCTATGGTATAGCCAGTGCAAGTGCTCCTGTAGCCTATGGTATAGCCAGTGCAAGTACTCGTGTAGCCGGTTCTGTATTTGTATGACAAATGAAAATATATTGGATGTTTTCTACACTATTTCACATTGGAAGTTGGAATTGATAATATGTGAAACAATCGATTGCATGATTCATAAGTGAATATTATTAAACACACGTGCAATTTACTAACACTTGATGAATGACAAGTGTTATATGTTATTTCTAACTGAGCTGGCTTTCAACTGTTTTTAAGTATTTTTGTTGGGTTATTAGCTTCGTCTGTCAATATGTTTTTAAATCCTGCATACTAATAGTATCTATTAGTCAAAGTGAGTGAGTGAGTGAGTGAGTGAGTATGGTTTTACGCCCTTTTTTAGCAATATTCCAGCAATATCACGGCGGGGCACACCAGAAATGGGCTTAACACATTGTACCCATGTCGGGAATCGAACCCGGGCCTTCGGCGTGACGAGCGAACGCTTTAACCACTAGGCTACCCGACCGCCCCTCTATTAGTCAAAAGACCTAAAAATCAGTATGAGTCGTATTAATGGTCTTAGTACCAAGTACCTGTACATTTTGTACACATTCATGAATGGCTTAAAATATCAAATCTGACAACGTATTGATGTTGCAATACACACAATGCACCTCTGTGTCGATACAGGCCACCCTTGACGTGATCTGGGACAAGAAACTTCCCTGTTGCGGTTATGTCTAGATGGTACACTAAAACGTCCATTATACTTAATTACCTTTACGTCAGTGATCGTATCGTCACTTCAAACAATTCAAACAAAACTTTTCAAAATTGGTTCTTTCATCTTCCAATTCCCGACGACAATAAATACACCAGTTTAATACCTTGTTTAAGAAAGCTTCCATGTAAAAAATAATATCATCAAATCTACAGGTAACATACAATTTACCTCTGTATTGAAACGCAGTATGTGTATGTTTATTCTATTCTAGCTTGAAACCCGAACTGTTTGATGTCAAGTAAGGATTGAAGCAGAGCAGATGGATTCCAACGTTTTGAGTGGCTGTCTATTTGGAATGAGGAAGTATCTCTCATAAACATAAAACAACGGTATGCCTTTATATGTGCAAGTACTGTCGCTTGCATCAATGTACTTGACTCGCATATATGATAGGAAAGTGTATAAAACAGCGACTTTCGTAAATAAACATTGAGCGGTCATCCCTAATGAAATGAAGGTCCACACATAGCCATTATCATTTCACACAACGTTTCAGCTTTCTAGGCCTTGTTTGTCTTCAGAATACACATTTGATGAAATTTCTTAAAAATAAAGATAAATTCCCAATTCTGCACAAACATCTGATGTCCCCATTAAAAGGAACATTCAGATTTCAGCTTTCCTCAGTCAAGCAGATAACAGAGCCTAGAATATATTTGACTTAAAAGCCACAAAATCCTTTCCCTAATCATATTTTATTTACTGAAAGCAGTCCATTGGACTATTCCAACTATATCTTAATAGCTGAGTGTACCTTGTCCCATGCGTGGCACCCGTCACAAATGCATGCAAAGGCAAGAAAAAATATTCACCGCCAAAAAAAACACGGAAACATGCTACAAATCAAAATATCATTTCTATCAGTTATGCGTCCAATTTGGAAAAATCCCCACATGTCTTCAAAAAAATATTTTGAAAGATTTGCTGAAGCCTTTAACGTCAAATCAAAGTCAATAGTAAACATGTCGCAAACACGGAAGACATACTACTTGTCCTGCTACTAACGACACAAATTTGATAACGTTTTGGAAAGAAATGGTCGTGAACTGGCCATAAAAGGAATTTCGAATATTGCTTTTGTGGAGGCCATATCCAAAACTGGATTGAAATCTCTGTGATATTCAGGTGTTATCATCGGTCGGAAGAAGCATGCTAGCTGCAAGTTTCAGCTTCATTGTTCCTGTGATTTCCTTAGAGAAGACGGACAACCAGCCTGTGACATAAGCTCATCGACTTTCAGACAGGTGATCTAAGAATGGGAGAACAAAAACAATAATAAGCCAAATACATCATCATGCCTTCCTGGTCATGGCGTGCATCAGTCGTAGCTGCGGGAGCTTTACATAACGCAGTTTATGAATACATTGTCGGGGATTTCAGTGAAGGATCCGGGTATGCATATGTCGTTACCCAACAGACACAAACCAGGACATGTGTGTGGCCTGGCGTGGTGTGGCGTGTTAACAATATTCAAACCATATCATGGCTGCAAATCGTGGTTAAACAGTCAGGAATCCCCACATGGGTTTGTGTAAAAGCTGAAATCAGTGATTGAGAATGACTGTGATATAATGTTACTCAATTCCAAAAGTAACGCACTCCCTAAAGTATGAAATGTTCGAAAACTCAAAGATATATATATTACAAATCGTTTTCGAACATTTCATACTTTTTGGAGTGTTTTTTCCCTTTGGAAATGGGTATAAATTACATGCATCAAATAAGAAATACACGTGTTTGTATGTTTTAACAGTACGTGCCACAATACATGATGGCCACAACCATTCATTCAAGGAACAGGGCTCCAACTGTAGTGAGTACAAATGAGAGTACTCATGCTAGAATGCTTTGTTTTTACCGTAGTCATTGCTGGTATAAGGCTAGGGGGAACACATACAGATACTATTGCGGTCTGTAAATAATCGAGTGTGGACCAGACAATCCAGTGATTGACATCATACGCATCGATCAGCGAGCCTGCCTTGGTTGGTGTATGTCATCGTATCCCAATTGCGTAGATCGATGCTGGGTAGCGGGCCTGTTCATGGTTTTATTTTTCCATAAAGTTGCACCACTTTGCATTTAACACCCGTGGGGAATCGGGGTAAGAATAAGGGTCCTCATCAACCTGTTGGTCTCAGAGGAGACTAAATGGATCGGGATCATGCTCAGTGAATTGGTTGATTGAATGTTAATTGCGTAGACAGGTGTCCATGTGAATCACTGGATTGTGTTGTTTCGACTCGATTATTTACAGACCGCCGCCTCATTGATGGAACAAGGAGGAGTGCGGCGTTAAACAGAACAGAACACTAATTTTAGCCATATCTTGGTATTCTATCGTATCATGATTTCCAAATTTGTAAATATTCGAAAGACAACGGGCTGTCATAAGAACGTCCGATTAAGTCTCCTACCTCATTCTTTGACCAGCGGTATCTTTATTCCTCGATATTTGCAATACGTCTTTATGTCACGATGCTTTACAACAAATACCTTATGAAACCGGCATACTGTTATTAATCCCTTGCAATGCTAGACGTACTAATTGTGATTCCAGTCCGTTATATGGTTGATGGCTACAGCTGCTGTGGTACTTTGTCATAAGACACATTGCATGCTTCTGGCACGGGGAGTACACAGGGAGTGAGTGGGTATGGTTTTACGCCGTCTTATGCTGGGGAATCGAACCCGGGAGAGAGAGAGAGAGAGAGAGAGAGAGAGAGAGAGAGAGAGAGAGAGAGAGAGAGAGAGAGAGCTATATTTCAGCATGATATCAGAGTTAGACAATTTCAGCGCCAATGAGAAAGTTATTGCGCTTTTTAAAAACAAGAAATATAAATTTAGCTAAACAATTAATGGGGTTTTAGATGTCCAGAGTGTTACAAATTCATCACAAGTTACATTTGTGTAAAAGTAATAAGGTAAAGCATTACGTCTCAAACTATCATAGCATGGACATTGTAAACAAATATGATATTCAGATTCCACTTCAGGTCTTGCACAAAATGGACATAGTCTCTTAGCTCTTGGTATAATGTACTTCCATTTTCAATTAGCAAAGTATGACCAGAACATCTAAATTTACTCAAAGCAATACGATAGGCACTTATTGAAATACAATCTGGATAATTTTCAAATACATTATATTGCATAATACAAGAATAAAAAGACAGTTTTGAGTACGTTCGTAGACTACTAGACCACTGTTGGTTATCTATATCAATACATCTAATTGTAAAGTTATCAATAAATCCAATATGATTTACTCCCTGACTATCCCAAACATGGCCAAAACCATATGAATAAAGAAGTTGTTTTACTTTTAGTGCCCAGCAATTTATTCCTTATTCTGCCAGGTTGTATTGATATGAATGAGCATGGTTAAGGATTATATTAGTTTTTTGAGAAACAAGTCGGAGGCAATATTTGACAATATACTATATGCTCGAGTGGTCAGATGTGCTCGGATCTGAGCAGAGATTGTGGAGTTTCAAGTTACAAAATAACATTCCATTAACAGACTCTGTGCTGGTCCTTATGCAGAGGGGCCCCGGGGTGGTGTATCTTAAGACCGATAACGGAGATCATATTATCAAGCAAAAAACACTGTGTAACAAAGTAAATACGAACATGTTAATTGACTTTAAGTGAATAACGTCCAAGCACACCACGAGAACTATATTAGGGACAAATCTCCCATATTGTAAAATATTCTTACAGAATCTATCATGTACATTAATAACACCTTGAGGCGGATGAAAGCCCCATACCTCTGAGCAGTAGAGAAGAACAGGTAGTATTTTGACATCAACTATCAGTAAAAGTAAATTATAATGAAGTTTCATAAAAATCCTTTGAGCTGACTTTTAAAGCGAACGGATATTTCGTCGCTTGTAGTGCAAGTGTCTTCTGTGTAAAGTACTAACTACCGGATGATGAAGGATGAACACCTAAATATTTATAAGTAGGAACAATTTCTATAATGTCGGTGCCAAACCGAAACATTTCATATCTTCGAAGACGACCTCTACGTCTAACGACAATAACTTTACTTTTGCTGAAATTAATAGACAATTTCCATTTATGACAATAAATCTTCATTTTGTCGAGGCGTCTTTGCAAACCCATGACTGTACTGTCGAATAGGACCATATCATTTGCAAACATTAGAATAAAAAGTTCAATCATTCCTAATTGGATATTACGATGCCCGACTGAATTAAGAAAATCAACAATATCATTCACAAAGAATGAAAACAGAAAGGGAGATAACTCACATCCCTGTCGTACACCTGACTGG